AATACTTTATTAAGTAACGCTGAAAATAATAATTCGCTAAGCTTCGATTACAAGTTACCGTGTAACAGTGGGAAATATTATATAGGAGAAAAAAAGAAGATCGTCACTCAGTGAACAAAGACCCAAGTCACGCTTAAGAAGACGGATAATTGCGATCGAGCGTGAGCAGCCTTCATAACAAAGAACACGGGAAGAAAACACAACCTCATCACCAATGAAATCAAAAAACAATGTGAAAAAGCCTACGGGACCGTGCATCACGAGGCAACACAGGGATACGCCCCCTCTGATAGCCACAGTGTTCCGATATCATGAAAGACGCTGGCTTCACAGGGCGCATGAAGGAAGCATTAATCATCCAATCCTGCGACAATGTCAACCGTAACAAAAAATACGAACTCTGTTAGAATTGGATGAACCTGTTTCCCATAAACTACTTAACAACCAACACCTACCAAACGCTTACCTTCTGGCTTAAAACTTACCAACCGCAGCGGACAAGAAAAACCTCAGAAACTTTACAAACGTCCCTACATCGGAGAAGGCACTTGAGACATGAACCGAAACGTCGGTATCAGTCAATCATCTGATTAACAATATTTTTTGCGTTGTGCATCAGTAAAGTTTTATGCTGTTTTTACTATGACCACATAGGCAACGAAAGAAAATTCTATCCTTAATCGTTATTTAAAGCATTAATGAATCAGTTTATTTAAGGCACATTTCCAATAGCATTAAAGTATAGTATAAAAGTTTAACATAAGTCAAATATCAATTGTAAAAATCAAACAGAACAGCAGAAATATGAAAAAAAATTTGACGTAGCACATGCATGGATATATAAGCATTTTCCATGGAGACGTAACAAATGGGCCCCAAGGCGAACAGAAACAAGGAAATGATGCACTACCATAGTACAACCTGGTTTAATGACTATCATGTGTCTTACACTGCCGCAGTATCGCTGTAAGTTAAGAACTTTAATTTACATTTTTCTTAGTCTAAATAAGGTATCAGTATTGAAAGGATCATGTTTACCAGC